TACGCCGGTCGTAGCTAGGTATGGATTGAAATTTTTTTGTGGCGGCGAAGCCGCCACCTTACGAGATGTCGTTACTTCGTTTTCCTTTTGTCACGGCATTATTATTATTTGTTCATGTATGTGAAATTTGCTTCTAAGGTTTATAAAATACTACTGTGCTAGTCATGGCGTAAATGAAAACAAACAAGACGCATTCACACAAACACCTCCCACCACAGCAATATGACATTTCACGTGTATATAATTTTTTGATTTGCGTACACTTTAGCGTGTACCTAGCAACAGCGAATATAAAACATGTCGTATAATTCGCTACTTTGCCACGTGTTTCCAACCCACGCAGACGTTTTTTGACTTGTTTAGTGGCCGAGTTAATAAATTCATTTTTAAGTCCTTTCGCGATTATCTAGCAAAAAAGATGTAAAAACATTACCGGAGGATGAACAATTTATTATAGACTTTGTTCAGACAGTCGAGAAGTACCCGTGTCTTTATGATCATACCTTAAAGGTGTACAGCAAGAACAAGATAAACTTGGAACCAAGTTGCTGGGACAAATTTTTCTACATGTGAGTTTGTTATTTTTATTTAAATATGTTCGGCACTCAAGAAAATCTTTATGTCTTGTCGACCGGCCAATAAACAGCCGGCGAAATATCGATTTACAGACTTTACTAGATGGCTGTCTAAAAAAGTACAGTATAGATGATGATGACAAAAAGTCAAAAGCTACCAGTCCTGAAGAACGCCCCACTGATCATCATCCGGGAGCAGATTTACTGGATACTAAATTCTCACGTACAATAATAACTCTTCGATAATTTGTATTCTGTAACTGCATTGATGGTTTCATTAGATCAACAGGCTTTTTAAATGTTTCTTTTTCCATCCTGTAGAAGTTTTGGAATTTTTGAGGATGTACTTGCTGCTATGTATACAATAAACGTGCTATATGTATCAGCATTATCACGTAACTGCGAATGAAACCACAATTTTCTTCTCGTTTTCCTCCTCCTCCTCCTTGCAATCACAGCAGCAATATTGTATTCTTCCGACGACATCTTGACAACGAAGATCTGATGATGAAACAAGACGCACTGAGCGACTTTGTTATGAAAGTAAACCGTGAAGAGGCCAGTTGCGACGTGCTTTCTGCTTTCTGGCAGCAAGTCGCACGTTGCATGCTACTTTGATGTGAAAGCCCACTAACGTTGTGATATTAACATTAAAAATATGAGATTAACAATGTTGGATTAACATTGTAACATTAACATATAGATAACATTGTGAAATTTCAGACGTTTCCTTTTCTATTTGTGTAAAATCCACCTTACTGATATACGATGTGAATAAATAATTTGCAACCTGACCCCATAGTAGGGTTGTGATTTTGATAGCGCAAGGCGAATCAATCCAAAAATAGGTGAAAATAGTTCCATCGGCCATAAAGGTTATGGCATCGGTATTTTGGGAAGCAAAAGACATTATTTTTAGTGACTATTTTGAAAAGGATAAAGCAATAAATGGACAATAATATGCTGACTTGTTTTTTGATCAGCTGCAACAGAAAATATTGGAGAAAAGACTTGGATTATCGAAAAGACAAGTTTTTTTCCATCAAAACAATGTGCAATGTCAAAAGTCTATTAAAGTAATGGCTATAATTAATTAACTAGGCTTTGAATTACTGCCCCTTGCACCGTACTCGCCAGACTTAGCTCCTTCGGATTTCAATTTCTTTCCAAATTGAACATTTCACGCAAGCAAGAAATATACATCCAATTTGGAAATCATTGCCAGCACAAACATATATCTTAGAGAGCTGGATAAATCGGCCTAATTATTAATACGTTTACCCCAAACAGCGCTCTCTTACCCCAAGTGACCCTACATAATTGGAGAAGGAGGAGGAGGATGATATTAACCAAAAATTTGGTATGTAGATGTCACCCTCAACTCAAAAAATTATTCAAAATACGTACCATCAATTAAAATTGGAAAATAATAGATCTAATTACGGTGTCATAGAAATAATACACATCTGACAAAAAATTCAAAACCTTCGATTAAAAAAGTTATTACGAGCCAGGAATGTCTTTCAAGAAAAAAGTGGAATTAAAGATATCTAGTTAGTCTACATTACTGCATGATGGAAAATATTAGAAGAAAGTTTGTAATTTTTATTTTAATAATATCGTGCCGTATTTTCAAATGATAAAAAATGAAATAAAGTTGGTTCCCGGTTTCCCTTACAAATCTGACAAAATCACTAGAAAAGTGCTCCATTCTTTGGGTTTTAGATATCCTACCTTAAATAGAAGACAACATATTAGGGAATCTTAAAGAATTATGATTTTACGGAATGAATACCTCACTAGACTAGATGAAGCTCGTCGGTAAGATAGATTCATAGTGTATCTTGATAAGACTTGGTACGACACTCATGATATAGTTAAAAAAGGATGGAGTGATCAATCTGCTAAATGTTCTGTAAATGCTCCTTCAAATAGAAAAAAATGTATTATAATATTACATTGGAGTAATGAAAAAGGTTTTGTGTCGATTTGCTTGCTATTATCAGCAAAGAATATTTTGAGTTGTTCAGCAGATTATCGCCCCTTGTTTGAGAAATGGTTTGATGAACAATTCCTAATTTTCCACCAAATGCTGTTAAAATAATAGATAATGCTTCTATCACTCTCGCCAAACTAGTGATATTCCAACAGCAAAAGCTCGAAAAAGGTTAATTTCCGCGTTTTTGGACAAAATGGTGTATCATATCAACCTACAGCTTTTTTGCAATATTGAAAGGCTTAAATCTCAAACGTTAGTACGTTTACCGCTATAATATTGTACATTAAATACCACAAGAATTAATTTGGAGGTCAGAAAAAAAATTGTAGTCTGAAACCATTTTAGATGTTATTAAAGAACTTGTTGGAGGTATATCTCAAGAATTATGCTACAATTGCATTCTCCGTGTTACCAAAATTAAAAATATTTCCAGCTCATTCTTGCCCTATAAACCTGAATGACACGTCAAGTGAAGATGACAGTTCTGATAAGATTTAATTATTCATTTTGGGTATATTTTTACGTTACTAAACGTAACCACTCTGTTGGTTCACATTATTTTGGAAAGGAACATGAAATTGTTCCTGTTTTCCTTCTCTAGGAATGTAACCTTGACGTGTTGAGAAGGCTTGCATCAATCACTTTAAAAATTAAAGCCAGACTAATACATTCCACAGTAATTTAATTTTTTTTATAATAAAGAGATAACAAATAACAGTTGTTCAAGCATTTTTGTAACATCCTACATTGATTTTTAATATTCAATGTAGATGAAATAATATAGTTTCATCTTGATTTTAATTACATGTCATGAATATTTATTTCGGACCAATTTCTTATCTATTACCTAAATAAAGTTTTAATAGTTACATAATGCATAATTTATTACTTTTCTAGATAACTTACTGCGATACATGTCTGCCTCCAGTTACAACTTAAGATCCTTAAATATAATTCAAAACACTGCCTTAAGACTGTGCCTCAGAGCTTTTAGAACAAGTCCCGTAGAAAGCTTGTACTGTGAAGCCAACAATCCTCCTCTTTGGCTTAGACGACAGTACCTTATTCTTTCCTATGCTACTGGTATCTCTGCGAACCCTTCAAACCTTGTTTTCTCACTGTTGGTTTCAAACAATAACACATTCGTCAGTATTACTTCTCCTAGGGCTGTTGTCTCAATTCCTCAGGCTCTAAAATCCTTACTAGGTGATATTGAGCTCACTAGAACGATGCCTTTTCCCATTTCTAAAAGTCCTCCTTGGTTAAAAAAATTACCCAAATTTAATACCTCACTTAGCCAAGTCAATAAAAGTAACACACCAAAAGAATTCTTTAGACAATCATTTACGGAAATAATTTATAGCAACAAATTTAAAAGAATTATATTTACGGATGCTTCTAAAGATCAATCTGGTGTAGGTTGTTCTGTCACCTCAAATGATGGGTTCCAGAAATCCTCCTTGCTACCTTCCTCATGCAGTATTCATACTGGGGAACTTTATGGGATACTTCAGGCTTTTAAATCATTAACTGCTGAGGATAACTATGTCGCTATATGTACAGACTCCCTTTCTTCGATCTACTCTATTAAAAATATTTATACTCAACATCCCTTGGTCCAAGAAATACACGATTGTTACAAATTTCTTGCTTCAGTAGGAACTTCCGTTTTCCTTATTTGGGTTCCCTCTCATGTCGGGATTGCAGGCAATGAGGAAGCTGATCGTGTCGCGAAAGGAGCTATTCAGATGAATCTACCACCAAAAAATATCCAATTAGTTAATGACCTAAAAACTGCATTCCGCCAAAAGGTCCATAATCAGTGGGAAAATCATTGGCACAATATTAATAATTTAAAACTTCGAGAAATTCAGCCAAATCTGCACTATTTCGAAATGCCCTCTCTGTCAAAGAAAGAAAGTACCATCATTAGAAGACTGAGAATTGGGCATACAAGATTGATTCATAAACATTTACTGTCTGCCGAAGCCCAACCTCTTTATTTGTACTGTAACAGGACTTTAACGGTCAAACATTTATTAGAGGAAGATTGCATTTACTTTAAAACTCAACGGGCTAAGAATGGTTTGAGTGATAGCATTAGTATCCTTAGATGTCCTAGTGAATTTGGAAAACTGTTTAATTTTTTAAAAGATGTGAATTTATTTAATCAAATTTAAATTAGTATAAATTATTTTCCTGTACTCTATAGTTTTGTAAATTAGGTTTTTTTTTCTTTTGTCTGTAGATAGTGTATATTTTTGTAAAACCTCTTGTAATATTATAATTGTACCTGTGTCAATGGCCCCTGATGCCGAGACACGTTAATTTCAATAAAAAAAAAATTATTCATGCGCCCCCGGACTAACTTCTTCTGCCTTGTCCCTCTGGGCCCTGATCTTATATCTAAATATTTTCATGCCATAGTTTTTGTCGCTTGTTGCTGTTGCCTAGGGAAAGATTTGAGACTTTAATATCAGATGTCACATTGACACATTCTTTTTGTTTGCAATTTTGGGTTCCAATTAAAAAGTAGAAATGATAGAGACTGAAGAAATTTCGTTAGACAAATTGTCCCCAATTAATGATAAGGAAGAACAAAGAATCATGTTCGAAAAAGCTGGATTGTTGCTGGAAAGATTAGCCCATGACAGTGAAAAAGATGAAAATACTGTTAATATTGCTGATTTTAAATTGCAAAAAATAATTTCCAACGTTGAACATGAAGGTTATTATATAAACTTTTAATATTAGATATATTTTTATAATTTTTAATGCACAGGTTCAAGTAATGAAGATTCAAGTTCAGATGATTCAAGTACTGAAGGTTCAAGTACTGAAGATTCCAGCGATGATGGATCAAGTAATGGAGAAGAACAAATCGATAAGAAAAACATAAAAGCTTCACTCGAAAAGATGCTTAAAAATAAAGAAGAAGAATTGGAAGCCATCAAATTTGAAACAGATATCCTTTTCGAGGGATTGAGTCGCAAACATGAAGCAGAAAAAGATCTAGATAATGAAAAGCAAAATGTAAGTCCAATAAAAGCAGAAGCAAATATAGATCAAGAAACTATTCACTTTAGTATCGAAAAATCAGTCGCTATTAATGAGAAAACAAATACAGAAATTAACGAAAATGGAGGTAAAAATAGCGAACAAAAAAAAGAAAGTGAACCGAAACCAGCAGAAGTTCAGAAAAAATTCAACTTCGTAAATGAAGAGGAGAAAACAATCCATAAGATGTTGTCAACTGTACAGTCTCGACAAAATTTATTAGAAGAGAAAATGGTGGCCCTAAAAGCCAGTACCGAATCCCTTAGAGAGCAATTACAAACGGAAAAAGAAAAACTGAAAGAAGAAATTAACAAAACTATTGAATTAGAGAAAATGATAAAGAACGAAAATCAGATAAAAGAGCAATATATGAAACAATCATGGAAAATTGGCGAAGATGATATTCTGAATAACATGGAGAGTTTTGGAGATTACAGATATTTTACTAATACCACGATTAATTTTGGAATGGAAATTAAGAAACGAAACTATCAGGTAAAAAATAGAGAATCTTATTTACAATAATGCACTCAAAATACGGATATGGTGACGAATTTGAAACAGGTGCAAGACTTACTTTTTATAGACCTAACTTTGAGTGTCGGAACACATTTAAAAATTCAAAAACAACTTTTTAATGGGCGTTTTCGCGATAAACGATGCTTTGACATTGCAGGACGATTTCTTTTATTTTCGACACAGGGGGATAATCTCTATTCACAGACAGCACACATAATCCAATGGACGTCCATTTTAGATCAATTTGAGAGTCTATTAAATTCTAAATATTAGTAATTTTAATATAAAACTAACTGCTTTAAATAATTTTGTTGATGTCATAGATCTAACACAAAATAATTTTGTTTTAAATAAATTTAATAAACTTTTAGATTTAGTATTTTACAACGGCCGCTGTATTGTAGAGAAATCCTTAGATCCCTTAGTAGTGAACCATCATTGAGCTTTAGATATCAGCTTTTAATTAATGGAAAAACTTGACATCAAAAATAACCTAGAATCTTCTTCTTTTCTTTTTTGGGCTATGTTACTGAAAACAATTTACCCAGATAAGGTTGATTTGCTTCTACTAGATAATCTAGATATTGACTTTAAATAAATTTAAAAATTTGGAAAGGGTGGTTATTCTTGTATCATTCAAATGAGACAAGGTGTAGCGATTATCAAATGGGGCTGATTAGAATACAAATTGCTATAATAGTAGAGGAGACCGTGGGAGGTCGACCTTCATCCATCTGATAACCAGTTGAATTTTTTTTTATAACCTTCACTTTTCTTTAACCGTACAAATTTAATTTTAACAGATAGATTTTAATATGGAGAATATGCCTCGGTAGGCTTGTCTACTTAATTCTGTTCATGGCTACCTGGCAAGCAGGTATAAACAGGTTAGTCAATATAGGTAACTACACCCATATGTCAACCAATAAAAATTGATATCAGAAGAGAGATAATTTAATTACGAAAATAATCCTATAGGCTTACCTGCAAAAAACTGTTCATGGAATACTATTGCCATGCTTTAAAGTTTTAAAATCGTAGCAATTAAATATGTGCGAGAGAGATAGTAAAACGTGCGAAGTCCGTTGACAGGTGACAGGACAGAACATAGTAGCTGCGCGTGAAATGTCCGTTGAATGTAACTCAATGTGCATGCTATTTTACACTTAGACTAGGTAATAAAGAGAGGACTCATAACGCTGTTGAAAGTCTTGTTCGATTCTGACACCAACGATATTCGACCAAAGGCGTAACATGTTATGGAATTTAAAATAAATAATTAACAGTAAGTAAGACACAAGAAAAAACAAATATTAAAATAAAATGAATGAAATCGTTTACATGATAAAATGAGTGAATTTTTTTAAAATTCCGCAAAATAAAACATACCGATCTACATGTATTACAAAAAGATTTATTTTTAGTTAATAAATAATGACACTATCCAGATAGCACAGACACGTTTTAAAGACATCTTAAATACGTTTGTTCACGACGTTGGTGACATTTTGAAGATCTACGTTAATATCCAAAAGATGTTTTAAAGGCATCTATAGGACGTGCAGACTATAGAAAAACACACAACCACAAAATAGTAATGACAATGTACACAGCCAGAGGAAGAACACGACTCGATACGCGCGCACGAGACTATCCAATCAGCCAATGACAATGACGAATGACGATCATAAATGCACTGCAGGCAGCGCCAAGAACGTTCCAACAAAGACGTTTTAAACATGTTCTGAGCAGGGCTTCTTAAAACCGTCCGTTTTACGTACCAGGACGTTTAGACGAAAGTAAGACATGAACTCGGCGTCTTTAAGATGGACTGTGCTATTTGGATTTATTAAATTAAGCTAGTTAAAAAAATTATACATAAATGAAGATAAATTTATTACTGAGCCTCAAATAATACTAATTAAATAAAAAGCAAAAGTAAATTAAAGTTTAATAAAAGTTAATATTTAGAATTGTACGACACGCCACTGGAAAAAATTACTTGTGTGGCCATTTTAATATCAATAGTTGCTTAAATATCAATGAAAAGCACAAAATAAACTAATTTGGTCGGTAAAATTTATTATTCTGGAGTGAGACATGTACAATATGTAAATACCAAGTTGTATAACACCAAAAAAAAAATTAAAAATATAAGAAAATATATGAAGTAAAAACGATTGATGTTTATCATTTACCTTTAAAACGTAATATCTGCTTCTTTCTTGCCGCTATAACTTTTACACTGATATGCCACATAATGAACCATTGTAATAAACCAATTATTAAATGTCGTTCAATTCAAAAATTAGAAATAAACACTAACAAAAACTTTGGTGTTACCGAAATGCTTAGCACCAAAATAATGGCGACTTATAGATAATCGGCAGAGAATACTACGTGTGCTCGATATACTTGTTACGCGTCCTCTCCTTATTACCTAGTCTAAGATTTTACATGCGATTGACAGAGACAGTGCTTATTTTGGAGTGGCTGACAGTAAACTTTATTTCGATTATAATTATTATATTACTCTAAAATACATATACTTACAGGTATATAATAATCATAAAAAATAAATTAACAAATAAAAAAAATACATATTTGAAAAAATATCTAAAAGTTAAGTAAAAAAATGTTATTATAATAACGGAAAAAAATAAATGTAAAATAATAATATTCAATACATTTATGGTATCAAAAGCGTTTATTTCAAAGCAAATGGAATACATAGAAAAATAATATAAAATTCGTAATTATTATTCAAAATCTGGATCATCTGAAGCTACATTAAGATCTTCAGACTCTGATGATTTTTCTTCATTTATATTTTCCGTCATTTGCACGATGTCATTTATTTTCAAAGGTGTTTGACCCTAACAAATCCAATCGGTTTTAAATAATTATTTTCTAAAAGCCAACCGCAGTTTTCAGGGTGCAATTTTATTGTCTGACTCGGTTGCATGGAGCCACATAGAATTGACATATATAGTTCTCAAAATTTGCATTAAAGAAGACCAGCACGGTGGCATAATGTTGGAGTCAAAACTGTTTACTTTTTTTAAAAATCTTTCATTGTCTTCTTTTGCGGAGTAACTGTTTTGGAAAATGCGATACCTGGACAGCTATTCACTAAGTCATGGGAGCGCTCCCATGGGAGTGTTCCCATATATTTTGCTCTCTTACTCTTAGGTGGGTATATCGTGCTTACTCCGACCTAACTATGCATGTACCTGGGCTAAAAGTGAGTAAGCAAATACCAAAAAATCAAAATGTTAGCTGTAAAAAAACAATGACAACAGGACTGTAGTTAAAAATACGATTAAAACAGCACATGAAAATTATCTTTTTAAAGCAGAGAGTGATGTTCTATCCACTCTAATAAACCTCGCTCAAACCTTATGGAAAAGTGATCTATGTGGGAATTGTCTGAATTTTTAATATTATAGAGGAAGCCTAACTGATTTAAGTTACCATTGCGCCAAAGTCCAATAACCAATAGTTTTCGAGATTCTGGCCAATGAATGTCTCATTTGTCTCATTGAAAGTTTTTGTTTTCTATCCTCTTTTAAACTATACCAACGGTATTTTTTAATTCTGAATAGTCTAAAAAAAGGGATCTCTTAGCGTTTCTCTGCAAAATGAGGCAGGGACTATCAAACTAATTCATAAAAGCTATATTCCACAACACAGTACAATTATTGCTACTGTCAGAAAATCTTTAATGCAACAATATTGGGTTCCAGCCTAATAACTTCCAGAATTGCATACCTCAACATATTTGCGAGTTTGCAAATACCCTGGACAATGATAATACCGATATTTCTAAAGACATTATCTATATCTATGGTATCTATGCCTACGTTCCAAAGAGCAGCAACTTTTGCGTCTTAAGGCAGACTTTTTCAATTCATAAAGGACGACTCCTTCTGAAACCAGCTCTACTTGTTGCTCCTGATGGTTATATATTGGCCTTTCAGGGTCTTTATTTTGCGGACTCCAGAAATAATGACGCGGCTATGTTGCGCAGTGAGTTGAACAATGACGGCGGTATTATGCGTAACTGGTTTCAGGAGGGGGATATCCTAATCGTTGATAGGGGATTCAGAGATGCAGATCCGTTGCTAGAGGCTCTGGATATTACCCAATACATACCCCATGTTGTTAAAAGTGGCCAGCAGCAGTTCTTCAATGAGGATGCCAATGCTTCACGGATGGATCGTGGAGGTCAGAAATGGCCACATCAAATCCATTTTTAAATTATTCGAACAGCTTATTCATACTTCCTATATTGAATACCTGGGCTAATTTAGAACTACCGACCTATTCATATTATTTGCAATATTTGTAAAGTATACAGTAGTGCGTTATCCACTCAACAACATGGATTTGTGAAAGATCGATCAACACTAACGAATCTCTCAGTCATTACTCAGCAGAAAATATCGATATTCAGACTGATGTTATTTGTACAGATATGACCAAGGCATTTGACGGTCTTGACCATGGAACTTTAGTAAAAAAAACTCTCTGCTTTTGGACTCTCGGATAGTCTTATTGACTTACTCAAACCATATTTGTGTAAACCTTCACAATACGTTCAGCTCAATGGATTTGTCTGTTAAGAAACTTGCAACATCGGGTGTCCCTCAAGGGTCGAATCTTGGCCCACTCTTATTCTATACTTTCTTAAATGACATTGGTAGTGTAATTAATGTTAATTATCTACTGTATGCAGATGACATTAAAATGATTGCTTCCACAAATAGTATAGCTGACTGCGAGCGACTTTATGAAAATCTGAAACAAGTTAATGAATGGTGTCATAGAAATAATTTAAAATTAAACCCAGCCAAGTGCAATATGTCGTACTCCTTAAAATCAGATCCAACATTTTACCAGTATATTGTTGACGAAACTCGATTAAACAGGCCAAAAAACTTTGTAGATTTAGGAATCCTATTTGATTCAGTACTTTCTTTTATATGTCGATATTATTGCATCATCATCATTTAATCGTACATATAGATTTATATTCAGAAATAGTCGTGGTTTTAAGAAAGTAGATACCATAAAATGTCTGTATTATGCTTTTGTCAGATCCAAGCTTGAATACGCGTAACTTACATGGAGTCCACTGTATCCACTATTGGAAGGAATTCAGAGACGATTCCTTAAATACTTAAGTTTTAGACATGATCTAGTTTATCCGACCATTGGTACCCCACATGCCGCTTTATTAAATAAACAACTAAAGTCTCGATATAAGACGAAATAGTACATTATACACTTAGGTTACTTTTACTGGTTTGGTTACTTTAAATTGATTATCGAATCAAATTTACTAAAACACGCATAATTCTTTTCAGAAATGGCTTTCGGAAATTGGAAATGAATGTGAAAGGCAACTGACTACGGTTCAAAATAACTTATTGGTGTTAAAGCCTTTGAAGGAGACGGTATCAAAATGGAGTAAACTGAACAGTGAAGAAACAGATCTCGATTACAAAAGTGAAGAAACAGATTTATTTGACAAAGGAGAATTAACGGCAAATACAGAAGAAGTTGAAGGGGAAATTGCAAATGAATATGCAAATGAAAAAGAAAAGAAATATAGTGGAAATTTAGGAAACGAAATAATTAAGAATAGCCAGGCAATTCAAGAAAAAAATTGGACTAAATATAAGGAGACAGAGGAAGATGATGATGGTGTTGAAAATAAATACGAAAATCAGTTGTCTGAAGTACAGAAAATTAAATTTGATAAAAATACTCATGATTTAGCAAAAATTGACATTGTCATTAAAACAAAAAGTTTGGAAAGTTGTAATATAAATTATAGTTAAATTAAATAAAAAAACACGAATACTTATTAATAGATATCTACTTAAATAAATTCGGCTGTAAACTAAAACGGTTAGCTTGTTAGAATTATTGTCAATATTTTTTTTTTTTTTTTTTTTTTTTTTAAAAACATTTAGTAAAATCAATTTTTTATTCTACGTTTGTCCAGTATCGACAAAATTAGAAAAGGAAAAGGGGTCCTTGACTCTTGCCTACCGTACGCCACTGAAATTTATCTTAAAACAAGAAGGCAGGTATTAATGGTCTAAAACAGGCCTGAACAACTCAGATTTTCAAAGGGCCCGTTTGAGAAACCGTAAGTGGACGAGGGCAGGTCCTCACATTATAATTCTGCCGAGCTTTTCTAACATTTTGGTCTGGGAAAATAATGTCCCAATAACTTTCAGCCTCCATTTATAATGATGGCCATTTAACTTTTTCATTCAAAGTGCCGGTAAATATAGTTCACCACTGCCGACAGTCGGGCCATAGTTACAGGGTTTTTAACATCCCTACGTTTGCTTATATACAGGGTGGCCCAATTAAAACAGTCTACCTGAAATATTTTCTTAAGAGAAGTTTGTTTAGGAAATCCCCGAGACTGGTCGATTTTGATTTCAAGGGGGACTTCTTTTGATATTTAATTCATTGATGTAGGTTCATCCCCCTTAACGGGCTGGCAACCTCTTCAAGAAAACTAAATGGCACGAGGGGACAATTTAAAGATATTTCAATTTTCTATTTAAATATGCTGACATTTTTTTGTTCTGTGTTAAAATTAATGTGAAACACCTGTTGGGAATGTCGGTGAAATAAACCGATAAAAAATTAAAAAAAAATAATATTGAAGAACTCAACTGCAAAACATTAAATTTTATCAGGTACTTGCATTCTGATATTACACTAATCGTAATTGTTGTCTAGTGTGGAGAAATTCACTTATTTATTGTTATCCGCTAGCTTGAAGCAAATGATCCAAATCATGGTTTACACCAAAAAAGAACGAATTAAAATTGTAAATAAAAGCTCGCGGAAAACTGCAAGAATTTTTATTAAAAAGCATCCTGGTAGGAACCTCAGCCATCCCTACGTATAGTAAATTTAATAACTAAAGACATGGAGACTGGATCTGTTGCTAACAAAAAACATAAAAGGCAACCCACAATCACTAACGAGGCTGAACCATAACCCTCAGAAAGTCTAGATACCGCTTGACGTATACTGTCAATACAAAAAAATGACCCCATTCAAGCTTGTCGTCATGTTAGGTAAATTTATGTATTGGCTACACTGATTTTTAGTTTGTGTGTTCTGTAATACGTGAACACCGATAATCTGCACTTTGTTATTAGTTATAAGTGAGTGAGACGCACAATTTCTAATTTCAAATTAAGAACAAAATTTTGACAAACCTATTTGATTTTCCTAGATCTGTTCAGACAGGACCGGTTTTATAAAATTTCTCGTTCTTGAAATGTTATTTTTACATGGTTATATATTATTGGATAAGTGGTTTGTGTACATATTGCTATGAGAATTATAGAGAAATTCAGTGAGATTTATGTAATATAATTCAAATTACAAGTAAACCATCTGTTCCTGTTTGGCAATATGGAGAAAATACCTACTTCAATGTCAAATGTACTATTTAAAAGAATGTGATTGTTAACCGGTCATTTATTTATATTATATTATGAAAATAAAAACTCGAATTTTTTAACTAGGGAAAGATATACTTACATCGATGACAAGGTATTTTTAGAAAAACTAATAGATTACTCCTATTCCTACAGTTTATTTGAAAATGAATAATAGCAAAATTATATAAAAATATGGACATTTGCCATAAAAACTGTGCTACCAAGCATTTTCAAATAAACTATAATGATAATTTGATTTAATAGAGCGAGTATAAGATCTCACCTGTTAGAGAAATTGGGGCATAGGGAAGAGATTATGAAGCAGGTAAGCAAAGTCATTGCAAAAGATAAATATATAGAAGTTATTTTAAAAATTTGATAAAAAACTAGTGAAACAACAAATCCCAAGTAACAATTTGATATTTTATAAAAGCTGAAAAAATGTTTACAGAACAAAATTTATAAAATAGAATATTAGCTAAGAGCATTTCCGGAACATTCTTTCAACAGTAATAAACACAAAATGGGCGCAGTATTACAGAACTATTTGGTTCTTTTGTAAATTCTATAAGATTTGTTGAATGCAGTTACCGAACAGTTACTACACATTTACACCTGACTTTAAACAAATGTTTTTTTAAACTTTTATAACTGTTTTATAAAGTTTCAATTTTGAGGTTAGGTTGCATATCAAAATCAGTAACATTTTAGTTTTTTAAATGTATCTGGTGAAAACAAATTAATTCTATATTTGTCATAAAAGTAAATTCAAGGCGATATTAGTAAAATGGCAGTATCTACTTAAGAGATATCTATAACGCGGTTTAGACATAATGTATGACCTACAATAAAGTCGTTTTTGGATGCGCAGCAAGAATTACTGTTAATTATATAGCACATACAATACTAAATTTTTAATCGCCTCGAGTTTGATTCATATTTCTAATACTTTTTCAGTGTGAAACAAAAATTAAATTTATGAAATTTGATTTTTTTTTAGTAATAAGATTATGCTAATATTACTAATGATTAAAATCTTTAATTAACATTGGTTTTGTCTTAAATACTAGTAAAACCGACAGTAGATTTAGCTTTAAAACTGTCTTAGGTTTTTGTTAAATATGGCGGCTATTCAGAGGTATTAGAAAGTTATTTTAAGACTGAATCATAATTATAAAATATTATTGTAGTAAAAACAGCTGTAATACAATAATTAAGTTGTATTACTCATTTCAACAAAACAAGTTCATCATGGTTTGTTGTATAATAGTTTCATATTGCTGCACTATATGACAAAATATAACATAACCTTACTAAATCGTTTCCGATTTAAGTATTTGGGAATTGAAATGATTAGATTTGTTTCTACAGCTTTATAGAGCAAGCATAATTTTTAATATTACGAGAATAAGCAAATTTAACATGGACATCGCCAAAAATATGGCTTTCTTTTAGTATTGGGGCATGATTATTCAGAACATACCTAATTATTATCTGGCTAAATGATAGTTTTTTTTTTGAGTGTCTAGACAAACCATCAAAATGTTTTACTAATATTTTTTACTGTTCTCTGAAAAGCAGGTACCACTTATTTTTTATATTTCTTCACTATTTAAATCTGACATTTTCAGACCATACACTCACATACAATTGGTATGGGAAGTAGTTGAACAAACATAAAATACAAAAATAATATGGCGTAGGTACTACCAAATGTAGTTGCTCTATTTTTTTATAAATATTTTTAAAGGGATAATACTATTCTTAACTAAAATAATTGATATACAGTTTTCTGATTTGTAATAGTGTATTTCGACAATATATTACAGTTATTTTAGAGTTTTCATCAGAGGCAAATTGCTATTGATGCGGAATTATCTCACACTAATATTTATATAACTATTTTTTAAAGCGTTATTATGAGGTTAAGAAACAGTTATATTTGTATGACCAAAAAGTTCTAAAGGTAATCCAGAACAATAATATAGAATAACTATAAAGCAATTTTATTTTATAAGCTGAAATATTGTATAGAACAGTTGTATAAATGTTTATGTAACAATTTCATAGTTATCGTGAAAAATATTTTATAATTTTGCTGTAAGAATATTGTAAAAACTAATTTATATAATTATTTAGTTTCAGAGAACAAAATAGTGATTTCTGCAACTGTAGTACAATAAATTAGCATTCCAGAAACAGCAATATAATATCAATAAAATATAATAGTCTTGTAAACTAAAAATTATAAAGCTACTTTGTTAGTTGGGATGGAGTTGTCGCTATCGGAGATCCAATCAGCAAAAAATAAAAAAAAAACTTTGGGAATGTTGGAAAAGGGCCCAGCGATAGGCCCAAAACAATTCCTTGGTTTTTTAATAAATATAATCTGAGATGCAAAAAATACTGCTAGAGTGGAGAAGCAGTATTGTTCTAATGTAGAAAACCCAGGGACATAAAGTAGTGCACTAACCATAGGCGAATAGTAATAGTCACTAAATTATACAAGAGTCCCATCTCGATTTTATTTTTAAATATTTTTGAGAATACCTATTATTATTATTTGTTACATTGAGTTTAATAAAACCACAGATTTCGAATGTATTGAAAGTTATTTAAAAAGTACCTCTATAAATATATAGAAAATGTGTATATGACTAACTGGTTTTATTAATCTTTTTTTGGGGTAGGTAAATATATTTTGAAAAATGTACGAACTTCTTTTGAATAAAAGATAAAATATTTCTGTTTTTATTAACTGAACAATATTTTATACGAACATAATATATACCTATTTAAAAGAAAATATTACATTTTACAAGTATCGCATAATTATATGAAATAACTTACTCAATAAGAAAGAATTAAATGTAACAAATTAATAAACAATGGATATGAAAAATTGCTTTAACAATTTAATCCTTAGATAAACTTATTCTTACATATTGCTTTAATCAATTTATTTACTATAAAAGTATATTTCCTATCATTTATTACATATAATAAAATAAAGCATAAAACATACAAACTATAATATGTACCTACTTAGAACAGAACTAATATTATTGTATCAAGGTAGTAATAGTGGACATTTTCCGAATAAAAAAAAGTAAAAAAGAAGTAACGGTCGACACGTTTTTCTGACTATTGGTCTTCATCAGTACGGTGCAGCCAAGTTCAAAGGATCATGGAACTTGTGTTGGAAAAATTGTACAATAGGTCACTAACAAGGAGCCAATAACACATTTGCCGTTTCAGCTAGTATCCCCAAATTTTCTGGGCTTATACTAAAGTCACAAAATGATTCAATGGTCTTCCTATGGCTGTCAGTTATTCTTTCCTAACATTTTTTTGTATGCTACAACAAAACATACAAATTATTTGATTTTGTAAATACACAAATATTTGTGAAAACTTA